AGCAGGAATCGAGGCAGCTGCACCTCCAATTTCCTGTTTAGTGACAAAAATAAGTTTCATCTCTGGGGTTGAACTGCAAAAAAAGTTTGTTCAATGACAGAATTGACTCAAATATATTTTCTGTATCAAATAAAGTCCATAGAGTTCCTGAAGTTTCTCTTTTAGTTCTGTTTATTCATTTTAATAACCAACTGTCTGTTACAATCAAACAGTATGAAGATAATTCTGTTATTTATGTTGATGTATGAAAGAAAAAATGATGGGGGGAAAGAAGGCTATGAAAAGGGAATATGGAAGGAATGAAGGACCGACTGCTGTATGAAGAGGAATAAGTGTCTCACGTCTTCTTGAGCTGTCTGATCCAGGCCAGGATCTTCTCGGCTGTCATTTCCTCTTCAACAGTGGTGATGTCCACATCTTCATCAGGCAGAACCACCAACATGGCCGCCCCATCTGTCATCGGTAGCTTTAACACGCCGGCCTTCACCGAGCGGTCATACGCCAGGAAGTACTTATCAGAACTGAACATCATGGGAACCATGACAACGTGATATCTGTCCACATAGAAACGTTCATCCTGTGAGAGGGATGAGTTAAAGGATGGACTGAACCGGGCTGAAACAAACAAAAAAAACAAAAACTTTATTCAACAAATAGACAAACCTTTATTTACAACATAGAACAGACAGAGGCAAGCACTTATCTTAAGTGGCAGACAACTTAAAGGACCGTCTGAACTGTGTGACCATGGGCAGCAAAAACTGGTCCTAGGAAATGAAATGTCCTCACTCTAGTGGGGATGCAGTCTGAGTCACGGTGAAGCGATAACAAATAGATGTAGTTAGGCTCATGTCTATAGAGAGTACCGGCTCTAAAATTAACCTACTGGGAAAGGACTGCACTAAGCAGTCAACAGACACGATGACCCAGCATTTCACAGTGCACTGTCCTTTGCACGGAGCCTGGTAAAGTTTTAAGTAGAAACACCCTGATCCAGAGCCGATCTGGTCATTTTTCACAGGATTGGTATCAGCCAGAATAAACCCAATCTAATTCTCATCCATATGTAGAACTAGAGTCCTGTGTTTTTGAGACGCATGCCTCATACAACCATTAAACTGCTACAGTAATCAATCCAACTGTCTACACTGCCTGTGTGTGGGCTGGCAGATCACTCCTGAAGCCTACTTTTAGCTTCAGGTCTATTTTTTTGGAGCTACATGCATAAAATGCTCCACAGAATCCAACAACAGTTCTTTAGTTCCAACCAGAACTCCACCAAAATAGAGAATTATATCAAGTAAACAGTTAAAACACATGATCTGTTACATCAGTCCTACTGAACATGGCAGTTGTTTTTAAGTGTGGGTTGGATATGCTGTACATATAGCCTGCATGCAAGTATAGCCAGGAATCCCTTCTGTTATCTGTCGGCATCTTGGACTGTAGTTTCCCTTCCCCAGAGTGTTTCTGTAGGCTCCTCTGCATGGTTTTGGTTACCAAGAGCTTCCTATGCATGAGCCAACACCATCAGTATAGACATGAGCACGAGCCTTCTGCAGAGTGCACGCGAGATGGTACACTGTGCTTTCTAGTGCGGCCCCCTAATAGTTGAGTCGTTAATTGTTATACACTGTGCTTTCTAGGCCCCCTAATAGTTGAGTCGTTAATTGAGAAACCCATTAGTCGACTGAGAGTCTTCTAGTCAAGCCTTTGTTTACATTTTTTTGTCAACCAGCGTGCATTGCAATACAAGGCAGCCCCAGATGAAACTCAGCTGGTTCTGGTGTAAGTAGACTCATATGTTGGATAACCCCACCCTGTGTGAGGCGACCCTGCCCTCAAACAGGTGATACATACTCTGGTAGAAGGCAGCAGTGGTGATCAGCAGCTGGGTCTGGGGGTCAAGGTTGGTCACAAGGTCCTCGACCCGGTCACTAGTCCGCTCCTGGGCCAAGCGGTTGATGGTGGCAATGGCTTCCTCTGTTGCTGTGTAGGCCAAATTCTGGACTTCCCCGCCAAATTTTGTCTGGACCAGGTCAAGGTAGAATGGTAACACCTGGTAGCTCTGGGCTGGAAGAATGGCCATGCCCTGCTGCAGGTTCGTGGCTCCACCCTCCGGCAGCACGATGGCCCTCAGATTCTGAAACAGATCTGAGAGCAGCATAGAGGGACGCAGAGTTTAAACCCCAAACACTGAAGTCCACATCTGTCCCCTGACCTCTGATCCCAAACCCCTGACATCAGACCCTGGACCTACCTGGGAGGGTCTGCGGGTCCAGTCCAATCAAAGTGAGCCCCTGCATCAGCTGGTCCTGGGTTGACCCATTGGTGGCACTTAGCAGTGCCAGGAGTCCAGTGGACAGAGTGAATGGAGCCAGGAGAACGTTATCATCGGTCCGGCTAGCGATGGCTCTGTACAACCGGGCGGCAAAATCTGCATTTCTATTGGTCAGAACCTCGACAGAAGAATCCATGGGCTCACAGGAGGCCGGACTCAGGAGGAGGAAAAAGAGGACCGGTGTGAGGAAAACAGAAGTCATGGTCACAGTGTCCTGTGCGGGAGAAGACAGAACTTGGTGGTTACTGACGGAGTCCTGTCATTTTCAGAGGATTAATATCAAACCAATTCTGATTATTTAACATCAAATTCTACACAAGGTTTGGAAATAATAATCATACAAACACTTAGACATACAGTACTTCCTCAGGAAACCTTTTTTTAACATATATACAAGGAGATTCTGGCAGCAGCAGCAGAGAATCAGTTCTGTCAACAGGTCAAGGCAGATAATCGGGTTAACATATGAAATGCTTGGATATTTGGGAGGAGGGAGACAACCCGAAATCCATAACAGCATCTAACGCTCATCGATCAGCTCAGAGGAGGAACAGCTGATCGATGATCAGAGGAACAGCCTGCCAGGGCCACGGCACACCCTCCGCCACCTCATGACGTCAGCCGCTGTTTTTAATTCTTACAACAATTCTGTTTGTATTCGTTTAATCTCGGTCTTCGCTGGACAGTAACAACGACATCGGTTTGATTTAATCACATTAACGTTAATAATGATGTATCTGTTGCCGCTGCAAACAAACGCCATCACTGACCTGCTGATCTTCGATGTGTTTTGATGGGATGTGCGAGTCACGGTCAGCTCGCGCGCTGATCACCGTGCGGTAAACACAGCCCTTCTTTTCAAAATAAAAGTCGCAGCACAGAGAAACGCAACAAACGAGAACCTCAGACATTGTAGGAGAATCATTTGGTTTAATTTTACATCCTGACAAAATATTTATTACATTTACTTCCCACCTACTTTGAGGCTTTCATTCATATCTCATGGTCTTCATCAGGAGGTTCAGACACCTTGGTCTTCATCAGGAGGTTCAGACACCTTGGACTCAGGGAAACTGGGAATGGTGCCGTTTCAAAAACATGTACGAAAAAAGGAAAGACAAGTATATGACTTAGTTACAAAACATCGAGTTTACAACTGAATCCCTAAAAGTTCACAACTCGGACACTTAACGAATTTGCCGGACAGACGTTTAGTACCTGCAACAGAAAGTACATAAGTGGACTACAAAACAATCAAATCTAATAACCCACCTTTCAATCTTCACATTTACACCACAGGACTGGCAGATAAATGCAATCATCCCACTGTACAAAACATATACCACTGTTATTTTGAAAGAAACAGCAACGTCCGGATCTTCTCCATTGTATTCTGCTTTGCAGCTGAAGCGCGCAGGCGCAGTAACGACAGCGTCAAGGTTTTTATTTAAGCAGGTCAATAAGCACAAAGAGATTAAAGAAAGAAGCCAAGATCAAGTTGTGATAGAAAAACAAGTAAATAGGGTTATTTAAAAAAAATGTAAAATCAATAAATTAATAATTGTGTTTACTCTTTCTCTGCAAACTGTTCAAGCATGGGGAGCAAAAAAACTGGGTCCATTTAATGACAAAGATTGTGACAGGTCAATATATCGAAATACAAAAATGGCACAATGTATCGTCTTGTCTGGAGATATCGTGTGGTCTCCATACCCCAGTGAATTCATATTTTTGTAAAGAAGATAGCCTAGTAGTGAGATGAGCTGTAGGTCAGACAGAGGAGTTCAAGGTGGAGGTGGGGCTACATCAAGGATCGGCTTTGAGTCCCTTCTTGTTTGCTATGGTGATGGACAGGTTGACAGATGAGGTCAGACAAGAATCTCCCTGGACAATGATGTTTGCGGATGACATTGTGATCTGTAGTGAGAGCAGAGAGCAGGTGGAGGAACACCTGGAAAGGTGGAGGTCTGCTCTGGAAAGAAGAGGAATGAAAGTCAGTCGTGGTAAGACAGAATACATGTGTATGAACGAGAGGGAGGGAAGTGGAACAGTGAGGTTACAGGGGGCTGAGGTCAAGAAGGTGCAGGAGTTTAAGTATTTGGGGTCAACAGTCCAGTGTGATGGGGAGTGTGGGAAAGAGGTGAAGAGGCGAGTGCAGGCAGGTTGGAGTGGGTGGAGAAAGGTGTCAGGAGTGTTGTGTGACAGAAGAGTGGCAGCAAGAATCAAAGGAAAGGTGTACAAGACAGTAGTGAGACCAGCTATGCTGTATGGGTTAGAGACTGTAGCAGGGAGGAAAAGACAAAAGGCAGAGATGACGATGTTGAGGTTCAAGTATTCTGTTGCTGGATGATCTCAGACTAGCAGCAAATCAAATCCTTTTTAATTCGTTAAAGTCAGGGAGACTCAAATGATGGGACAAAACATTCTGCAGGTAGTCATACAATTTTTAATTTAATTGTGATTGAATCGAATCATTCACACCACATCCTGCATCAAATCCTATCGTCTCATGCCGACTAAAAGATATATTAATAATAATAATCATCAATAACCAATGACATACTAAAAGATATATTAATAATAATCATCAATAACCAATGACAGAAGCACCTCATGTGCACGTTTAAGCCCATAAACATGACATTAAAGGACAAATTAAAGAATGTGTGATTTATAAAACCTTCCTAATATTAACCAATACAACGAAAACCATGCCATGATTTATAAATCAGAAGGTTGATAGTGTTTCAGAGAAGGTTATAATTCAGGGATGGCTGTAGTGCTGTTGTTTTAATCCCTGAGAAGCCTTAAAGAGTCCAGGTAATCCGCTAAAAGATCTTGATATACAGTAAAGAGCACAGATTACTTCAGTCCAAGGTCTGTGCTGGAATATTTTTGAAAAGTGTGTACGATGGCAATGTGTCTGTTTCAACCTCACTTCAGAACTTCCACTGAAAAACTGGTTGATTTAAGTCTGAGGAAACAGTGTCCACACACTTTTGGCCATCTATATTAAAATACAAACACTGACAATGTTGTATAGCTACAAATTGTGTTTTCAAATCACCTCACACAATTTATTATGTACGTGTGTGTGTGTGACATAACATTCTGCATACACACACGTAAGTTGTATTTAGTCATGTAGATACCCCTCTAACTCCCTCCCTCCAGACAGCGGCATCTTGTCCCTCTCGTGGGAGGTGAGGAGCAAACACCACCTCTAGCCTGCGGAGGGCGCTGCTCTGTTCACCACGGACAACTGTCTCCTGGAGACGTCGCATCATTAGTCGAACCATCACCTGATTGGCCCAGGCCAACCCGAGAGCAGGTGTCACATTGGAGGGCAGAGGACTGAGAATACATTGAACACTGTCAGAACGTCTTCACAGAATAATTTAGATTCCATCTTTTCTTCAATCAAGTATAATGTCCACAGACTGATACATTAGCACATTTGATTTAAATATTTACCCCAAACTGCCGTCTGAGCCACTGAAAACATTTGTGACCTGAAAGGAAAAAGCATGTTATTTATTATTGACCCACAATAATCAGCATTGATTAATCACAGGCAGCCAAATAAGAGTACTGATGAAGTGCAAAGAATTCGATTATCTTTGTTGACCTTCAGTGAACTGCAGATGCTCAGCAGTCTTTGCCTGCTGGCCCACCAACATCAACAATAGAAGTTTTACAAAGAATAAATAAACTCCTAACAACAGTAACACCTGAACCAACCTGTAAAGGCCCAGGATATGGTACCAGGACGTAACCCCGTCCTTCTGTCACCTCAACTCGGCCCCTCTCTGACCAAATCACCCGACAGTCAACCATAAGAGTCACCTGTCAGCTGGTGCCGGGGGGCCTGCTGGACCACAGCAGCTTTCCCAGGTCCGGAGCCAAGACCTAGGTCCTGCCATAAGGGGAGCTATGTCAACACTGGACCCAGACTCCGAGGCCTGCTTCCTAGAGACTGGCTGGTGTCCTGGTGCAAGGTGGGTCACTGTGGTTAGGACTCTACTCCAGGTATCACCAGAACTTGGAGCTTATCCTGCGCTGTTATGACTTATGCACTACTTAATGCCCAGGTACTTCAACCACACACTGGGCATTCGGTCCACTCTCTTGAGACAGTATGGTACACCTGGTCCAGGTGCTGTGGGCTACCGTGTGGCTCAGGAGAGTGCAGCCTAACTCCTAACAACACTGAAACCAGGAGTTCTGCCAGAGAACAGGTGTTTTACCTGGTTGATACAGAGGACAGGTGTGGTGAACTCCTGGCTCAGGTGGCGTAGAGTAGAGGAGAAGGTGAGCAGCTGCTTGTTCCTCTCCAGCCAATCGGCAGCCTGGAACTCAGACCTGAACAGAGCTGCCACCGAGTCCACAACGAGGAGCTGGACCAGACCACGGGCCAGCAGGAGGGGGACACGCCGGGACAGACACACCTGGAGAGAGTCCTGTAGAGATAGGCATCATAACCTGTCTATGTGAACATGGTGTTCCAGCCGCAATCTATGATCTGAGGTCAGTTGTCAGAACTCACCAGATCAGCAGCGTGTTCGATGTAAATGTGGTCACTGAACTGGAGACTGCTGATCAGCGATGGAGGGACATCAGAGCGCAGACAGGGCTGTTCCCTGATCAGCTGCTGCAGGCGTCTGATGGGAAACGAGTCCTCTGTGCAGATATAAACTGCTCCTATACAAACAAGTGTTTTCTGTGAGAGGCACATCCTGAGGGCGTCCCAATAGCTGAATGGTTACAGTGCAGCACAGCGTGTGCACAACATCAGCGATTCGAGTGCAACCGCTGACCTTTGTATGTAGAGCTTCTAACCGGAGGTTGTAGGACTGGATAATTCTAAGCCTCACTGATACACCTTGGACTGTCCTGCCTCGCTGGTCAATATGTTGCTCTGCTTTGTCTTAACACGCTGCTCTTGTTTAATATGCTGCTCCATTTTTAACTCCGGTTACTATTATGAATTATTTATTATATGTTTTAGTAGGGGTATTACATTTTTAGGCTTTTACACGACAGCTTAGTGCACTCTGCCAGTCCTTCCAAGTGGTGGCGTAATGACAAAAGACAAAGAAACCTTGAACCTAATCCGTCAGCCAATCATCTGACCACTGTGTGTCCTGGTCCATCAGCCAACGCAAAGTTTTATCAACATCAAATATGACTTCAAACACAGAGGTTACTGGTTTCCAGGTGTGAAACACTTACACAAGCACAGGACCTGGTGGAACCATAATCACATGTTCACTGACCTGAGTTCAGCCCTCCATATTGTGTTGGATACTGTGCACACAGACAGAGCTGCAGAGCCAGCTGGGTTTTTCCTGACCCACTCTCTCCTGACAGCTCAGTGATGCCCCCCACAGGAAGACCGCCCCTCAGCAGTTTGTCCAGCAAAGGACAGCCCACGCTGAGTCTGAAGCCAGACCCCAACCTGCAACACTCTCCACGATGGAGCAGAAGGGCTGAAAACAGACAAATTAATACTCACTGTTACATCACTTTACATTCGTCACTTTTCAATAGGAGTGCATTCATTACTGACCGTGACATTCAATAGGAGTGCATTCATTACTGACCAGGTATGGGAGGGTGTCGCCTGCAGGCGGTGGCAGCGGCAGTGAGCAGCTGTCGGATGTCTGAACAGGACAGGCCTGTGAGTCTCTGCAGGTCCAGACCAGAAACACATAAAACCTCCCTGACAGATTTCAGTTTGGCTGGAGAACAGAGAAAACGGGGGTTACCATGGCAACAATAAAAATAGGAATTTTACTCTCTTTCAAGACACTGAACAGAAGCAGACAGCTTATATCTCAGAATTTTCAACAAGAGACATAGATATCTGCACAAGTACCAATCAATCTCCACACAAAATATGGCTTTGTCCATCAGTCAACATATGGCTTCAGCAACACTGAGTACAATGTTTTGGGATGTCTGTTAGCCACTGCTACGACCTAGCGTTATAACTTAGAGGATAAGGTCAGTCATTTTCTATATTAATAGCGTTTTCAGCAATCCCCATACAGAGACTTAAACAGACATTGAATTGCCTCTAATCACAGTTAATGTCTGTCAGGCCTGGATTATCTTGTTTGTCTGTACAAAAGACCTCTATTGTTGTTGTTCAAAAACAATTAACACCACACACACTGCTACAATTCATATTAAAAAGAAGCTTACAAGAAAAAATGACCACTTGTACACACAGGGAGATAATCAGTGTTGGGCAAACTACTTCGAAAAGGCCAACTATCAATTACTTCACACTAGAAGAAGTTAAACTACAGTAAAACTACTCTAAAGAGAAATATAGTTTGGTAAAGGTACTTACAAAAGGTAATTCAAACCATTTTGCTAAATATTATCAAACTGACAATGTACCTGGGTCAAAACTATTACACCATAAAATAAAACATGTCAGACAAAAAAAAAAACTCTCCTTTGAGTTTATCTAATTTAGCACCAGTTTAAAAAATGTTACTTGTCAGATTTACAGCCTGACTTGTACAAAGTAAAAGAGTCTTGAGGCCTTTTAGACCATATGAACAGTTTATACACTGGCCTCAATGGGCCCATGTTTTACTAGCACTTCTCATAGAATCTCTTGGTTATAGGACACATGAGCAGCCTCTCAATGCTCTTAACCAACAGGCGGTTGGGTTTAGTGAAGTCGTGGTCCTAAATAAATAAGACAGATAAAAAAAAATAATTATTAAAATAAATGGCAAAATAAAAACCTTTATTTTATGGCCCAAAATCACTTGGAATTGACTACACAAAAATTGCAAAAATTAAATTTTGCTACAGTCACTACACAACTATGAATGTAGTTGAACTACCAGCAAGGTTCTGCAAAATTTAGTTAAACTACCAGTTTAATTACATGTAGTTGGCTCCTCAACACTGATGATATCTTCCAAAAACGTGGAGCTATGTTCCCTACGATCACTTCATGTGACAATAAGTGATGTTTGTGAACAAAGTCTCCTCATACCTCTCCTCACGGCAGCTAGGATCCTCGGGTCGAGCTCCAGTTGATCCCAGTTCATCTCCTTGCTTGGGGCATGCTGTCACTGCTGCTGGTCAGACTAAACATAAAACTATTATCTCGTCTAAATGTTCATACTTCACTTCGTCTGCAGTCCAACCAGCATCACAACAGCCTCAAATACCCGCGCGAACACAAGACGTCATCACGTGCCCACCGGTTGAAACCATTTGCTCGGTTGTCGGCAGTGAACTGTCCCGACTTAAGAGTAAGACCTGGTCCCTTTTCGTAATATTATACAATCAAAACTGTAACTACTGTATATTTTTACAGTTAAATTTATACGGAGTTTGTTTTTCGTCACCGATCAGCAAACTGCCCCACACGAGGTACGGCCCAATGACGTCACTGCACGGCGCCACAGAAAGAAAACAAACCAGCGAACATGATCCGAATTTTTCACTAATTAATATTTAGTAATTTAAGTGATGCGTAGTGTCAACAACAAGAATGCGTTGGAGTTCAGTCTGACAGAACAAAATGGTTTATAACAGAAAGATAAAGCTGCAAACACAAACAGCTCTTCGACGTTTTTAACCGCCAGCCTGGACTCTATTGTTTTCTACCGACTGACTTCTGCTGTCGGTGAGGACTAGTTATTGTGATGAACCGTATGATCGTAATAAAGGGCACTTAGTCGATCACTAGCTTTATTTTATATGTTCAGCTATTTAAAGCTGTTAATGGAGTTTTGCCATGTTTGGATTTGAACTTAACTTTATCGGTTGAATATTTAGGGGTTGCAGTTTTCTCGATACGTCGTTTGGTCTCAAAATGTCGAAAACCGGTGATCAAGTCCTGTCACTAGCAGTTTTCAAAGTATCTGAAGATGTGAGTGATCCATGTTTCAGCTCCCCGGTTTGTTTTATCTGTCAGTCAACATGAAGCTGGGTCAATATGACGTCAGAGGTACAATGTTACCTGAGGAAGGTGGTGTTTCAGTTACAGACCACACATCCACCTGTGAACCTGTAGTTCAAGCATCGAGAAGCTACACTGGACACTAAGCGGCCATATTTCTGAAAGGAGTGCTCGCCCTGTACCAACAGAAACCAACGGTTCTTCAGGTCCAAAGTTTAACGTGAAGCTTGGAGCATTTAATACAACTATTTAACATTTTCATTGTTGATTATTACAGAAAAATAAACACCATCCTTCTCAGTTTCTCTGAGTCCATTGTAACATCTTCAGTTGTTTTGTTTGGTTCAAACTCAAAGATATTCACTTTACTGTGACAGAAAACAGAACAGAACATCTGGAGTTAGCATCACAGACTCTCAGCCTCTGGAAACTAAACTGATACGTAACCTAGAGTAGACTCCTACAGTTTTTATGAAGCTTCCAGGTTTGATTAATCCTTTTTGCACAACTACACTGTTGCACTCACTAAAACATGTTTTGTACCGTGATGCACAATGAGAACCACAGGTAACAGAAGTTACAGCACAGCTTACACACTGGTCTAAATGGGCCCGTCTTTTAGTAGGACTTCTCATAGCACAGTGTTCCTAACCAAAAGGCGATTGTGATGATTTGTCTAATTAAAAGTGGTTCAGTTCATTTGTGGTTGTGTGAAAGACTTGGTTCAGGATGTTTAAACTGTAATGAGCCTCAGGCTTCTTTAGTTTTAATTATAATCTAACCCAGTTAAATGTTCTCCTGTCTGATCCCAGCTCAGTACATCAGAAAGCTGATCTCCAGTGCATAAACCTCCTCCTTGTAATTGCTGACCCTCTCCATCATGAGCCCTCGGGTGTGCAGGACCTGTGGGGGGTCCAACATAGATGTGGATCAGGCTCGGGGCAGCGCGGTGTGTACCAGCTGTGGTTCGGTTCTGGAGGATAACATCATCGTCTCCGAGGTCCAGTTTGTGGAGGGAAGTGGAGGAGTTTCCTCTGCTGTGGGACAGTTTGTCTCTGCTGATGGTGAGATGCAAACATTTGCTTGGGTTTGTCTGTCGCTAACTAAGGAATGTAAAAACGATCACGCGCATTTCTGAGTCTGGCACAGCACGCTCTCTGTACCCGACCACCAGTGGTTTATAGGAACATGTTCATTTTACAGGGGCAAGAAAAAGTATGTGAACCTTTTTGGAATTTCATGGTTTTCTGCATTAATTTGTCATAAAATGTGATCTGATCTTCATCTAAGTCAAGAGTACTGATAAATATAATGTGCCTAATATAACGACACAAAAAAAAATCCTATCTTTCATGTCTTTATTGAGAACAACCATAAAAACCTCATAGTGCTAGTGGAAAAAGTAAGTGAACCCTTGACCTCAAAAAAGCTAACTGGAGTCAGGTGTCATACCTGGAGTCATGTTAAGAAAATGAGTTTGGAGGTTGGACTAGAGCTACTTTGACTGATAAAAACCACTCAAACCTTTTGAGTTTGCTGCACAAAAGAAGAAGTAGTTTATGTGAGCATGCCTCACCAGAAAGAGCTTTCAGAGGATCTACGATCAAGGATTGATTTACATAAAACTGGAAAGGGTTATAAAGTGATTTCAAAGACTTTAAATATTTACCAGTCTACAGTTAGGCAAACAATCTACAAATGGAGACACTTTGGGACTGTGGCTACTCTACCAAGAAGGGGGCGCCCAGTCAAAATGACTCCAAGAGCACAACGAAGACTCATCAGTGAGGTAAAGAAACAACCTCGAGTGACAGACAAGATTTGAAGGCATCATCTGAACTGGATAACATCTATGTTCATGAGTCTACAGTACGTAAAACACTGAACAAGCAGGGCGTCTATGGCAGGACACCACGAAGGAAGCTGCTGCTTACTAAAAAACAGCATTGCTGCATGGCTGAAGTTTGCGAAAGAGCACATTGACACTCCACAGCGGCATTGGTAAAATGTTTTGTGAACTGATGAAACTAAGACTGAACTATTTGGAAAGAACATGTAGCACTACACCTGGTGTAAAAAGGGCACTGCATATCATCAAGAAAATATCGTCCCAACCGTAAAGTGTGGTGGAGGACACATCATGATTTGGGCCTGCTCCGCTCCATCAGGGCCTGGCCAGGTGGCAGTTACTGAGGGGAAGATGAATTCCCAAGTGTATCAAGGAATTCTTCAGGATAATGTGAGAATGTCTGTACATCAGCTGAAACTCTGTAGAAGTTGGGTGATGCCACACACACAATTCACTTACTTTTTCCACTACCATTTTGAATGTTGAATGAGTGTCTTCAATAAAGACATGAAAGATCAGAATTTGTTTTGTGTTGTTTTTGTAGGCACATTATATTCATCAGTACTCTTGACTTAGATGAAGATCAGATCACATTTTATGACAAATTAATGCAGAAAACCATGAAATTCTTCCAAAAAGGTTCACATACTTTTTCTTGCCCCTGTAAAATCAGGTAAAGGTTGTTTAGTTTCACTATGCACGCTCTCCACTGTACATGGTTGAAATGACAGTAAAAAGCTACTTGACTAGAGCTACTTATTAGGCAGAACAGCACATTTCACATTCCTGTACATCATATTAGTGGATTATAATTGATGCATCGCTGTGCACATCACAATGTTATAGCTGGTAAAGGGGGAGCTATTTTTAACTAGCTTATATACATTTATTTGAATTACTGCTGGGTAGCTTTTTAACTTTTCCACCACAGATCAGTGAGGTCTTATTAACCTGCAGTTTTGTATTAATCTAACTGAAGTTATAGACTAAATGTAGTGGGGTAAAAAGTAAAATATTTGCCTCTAAAATGTAGTGAAGTCAAAGTATGAAGTAGCAGAAAATGAAAATACTCAAGTACAGATACCTCAAAGTTGTACTTAGTTACTTCCCACCACTGCTTAAAATAGATTTTTTTAAAAAGTGTGATTAATTGCAAATTATCTATGGACAATCATGCAATTAAATATTTTAACTGATTGACAGCACTACTGTTTAAACATATAGTGATGTTAAGTCTTAATGATTTAATGATGTCTTAAATTAAATGGCATTGAAATCCAGAGCAATTTAAAATGTGTGTTGAACTTTGACCAGTGTTTCCATCCTTTTATGAGTGGTAACCATTTTATTCCTACTAAATCTTCCACTGTTTTAGTCATACTTTTAAGCTCTCAGGTTCTTTTGATAAGGAAGTTAAGCTTGCAACTTTTTTTTTTTTTTACATCCTCTAGAATTTTTCAGCTTTGCATCTCAGGCTTCAGCTGTTTAAGCAATAAAATGAATTAATAAGCAATAAAGACACTGATGAGGAAGGTAGTTGGCTATGACAGAGGGCTTTTCACCCCGTCCTCCAGCATAGACATTTACAACAGATGTTAACACTGCAGACGTAGGCTTAAACAATGCGATACTCGTCTGAAGCAGACTAGGGGAGACTTACGGTTAAGTCTGGAGTGTGGGAGGCAGATCAGTGGTGTGTCGAGCACCTTGAGCAGTTGATGTTTGTCCATGTAGTCCACCTCACAGATGATCTCTCTGCGAGTCCATGTCAGACCACAGAAGCAGGTCAGCTGATTCACCCAACACCACCATGCACCATTACATTTAATCTGAAGGGGAACACCTCGACGTTCCTGGAAAAAACAAAGACACAAACCCTCAGAACAAATGCAAATGGAGCTACTTGGGTGTGGGTGAAGCAGGAGTAATATGAAGCTCTGAAAGTGGTGAAGCCATCCATTTTGAAGGTGCTATGGTGTAACCACAGAATGAGGCACGGTGCTCATTGATTGAGTGGATGCCATTTCCATTTCTGTCAGGACATTAAAGACGGTGAGATTATTGGAGACTGAAGTGCAACCATCATAAATGTGAACTGAACTGACCCACGGCCTCTAAGTGAGGTGTCTGAACTAAGGCCACATGGATCTATAGGTAACCGTCTTCACAAATCCTGACAAGACCAAAAAGTATGAAGTATGTCTGCTACAAGTTCTTAATGTTAGTAACATGGTGTAGATCATTCAGCAGGTTCAAAGACACCAAGGAACAGTTTGTGTAAACCCACAAATCCAGTTCAGATGTTGTTCTGTCTGTGAGCTCGCAGCAGATAAAGATGAGTCTGGAAAGAAGCCAATGAGATTTACTTCTTATCTGTCCAGGTGAGATTAGCTCAACTCACCCGATGGTAAAAACAGCAGCTTTCATTTTGAAACAGAAAACTGTAGTGTCCCTGACCATGTGGAGGAAAAGCTTCTTCTTTGCAGCCAGGTGAGCTGATCACCTGGATGACTGGGTCTGGTTGCAGCTGGTTCAGACCAAACTGGTCACTGAGTCTGCAGTAAACTGGTCTCTAGTCAGTATGTTAATGTAAGACAGGAAGTGATGTAAGCTGTCAAACTGGGACTAAATAAGCAAATTATTTGACTTTACTTTTTTCTTTAAGTAACTAAAAACAGCAAATATCGAAGATTTACATAACATTTAATTTATATTCTTTTTGTCTGTGAGTGTTTTGGTCTGACAGCTCCCAGTTTAACGGTCAGTGTTTCTTATAGTGTGAACAGACTGAAAACAGACTCACACTTGTTTCACCCATCCTCTTCTCTCTCAGGTCCAGTCAAAGCTCCTCTTCTTGGTTCCGGTTTTCACACCGGTGTTGGTAAAGAGTCCAGAGCCCAGACCCTGCAGAGTGGTGAGTACCTTCAGCGTCATCCCCACTGATCTGATCCACATCAGGTACAGTTCTTTCACCTTAGTCATTGTAAAACTCTTAAATTCATTCAGCATCAGTGAGCTGAGGTGTCTAATCTCAGATCAGTTCACAGAGACCTTTACTGTGTTTACATTTTAAGTCAAAACAGAGCACTGATATCAGATCAGAGCTGATACTCTAGTCATCACCACCGGTCTTACTCCAGGTAAGCGTCAGATCCAGCAGCTGGGCAGTCAGCTGCAGTTGAACCAGCACTGCTTGGACACAGCCTTCAACTTCTTCAAGATGGTCGTCAGTAAACACCTGACCCGAGGACGTAAGACGGAGCATGTCATCGCCGCATGTCTGTACCTGGTGTGTCGCACCGAGGGGACGCCGCGTATCCTAGCAACTCTGATCTACTGTGTGTGTGTGATTTAATCTTCACCTGAACCAGGTTCAGTTTAGTGATTCACTGATCTTCAGAGACTCTGCTGGTTTTCCTCAGCTGTGTTTCAGACATGCTGCTGGACCTGAGTGACTTGCTGCAGGTACAACTGAGACCTCCTCTCTCTTAGTAGAGTCTCAGTAGAGCCCTCAGTTTTAACATGCAGCTTTGTGTCCACCAGGTGAATGTTTACATCCTGGGAAAGACGTTCCTGCTGTTGGCCCGCGAGCTTTGCATCAATGCACCCGCCATCGGTGAGAACTTTTTATTTAGTCTGAGATGCTTCCTCAAAACCAAGTAGTCAAATTCTTGTTTCAGTTGTTTCATAATTTCCCCATCGTGCAAAGGAGAAAACTTGTTTCTGTTAAAAACAAGCATTTAATCAATGAAATCTGCTTGATGGCATTAACAAAACAGTTGCTCCAGCCCCTTATTCAGGGACAATCCGCAATAAACATAAGGGGTTTTTCCATTACAGGAACCTACCGACACATGTCGAGCCAAGTAATGTTAGTCACAGGTTCTGCATTTGTTTCCGCTGCCCTCCACCAGCTTTGGAGCTGTATTTCCCGGAGCTAAATTTCAGCACCCCTCAGAAGGTAGTTGTCAGGTTTATTCTGATACGTCAGAGTATCAGACAGTCTCCCATCCAGGGCTGGCCACGCTCAGCCTCACTCCCAGATGGTGCGAGAGCTAGCCTGTCCTGGGAATGGTGGGTTGTGAACTTGGCGGTGGCAGTAAACCAGGAAAAGGCAGTAGCAACAGAGAGGTGTAACCACCAAAATGAGTGTCACGAAGTCACTGGTACTACTGAGGGTAAGGCACATAAAGACAAAAGAAGAAAAAAATATATAACAGCTGGCAAGTTAAGGAAAATACTCCTCCATGGAGAAAACAAAGTGAAATATATGTGTAAGCACCATACAACAAACAAGAACAAAAACTAGGGTGCTCCTCAGATAGCAAAGTGTAACCGCTAAGCTCTAACACAAAGAAATAAGGCAAGAGCTGAGACACGAGCAGGCGGAGTGCAGGGTTCAAAAACTAATTCAATAGATAATTTAGGGGCAGAGCTGTCGACTTATGACAAGCAGAGAGAAAAACAGGTGGCAAGAAAGGACCAGCAGAAAACAGGTCCTGCAGAAGGTTTCCAAAAGATCTCAGGAAGCAGATGATGGCCAGAAAGCAGGAGCTCCAAAAACTGAGGGCCAGAATCAGGCAGGGGAAGGTCAGGCAACAGGTTACTGGTGGGCAGAGAACTGGTCCGGAAAGTAGAGGGCTGGAAGGAACAGCAGCTTGAAAAGTGGCAAATACTAGGCTTTCCAGAAGTAACAGGGAAAATCCAGGGCTGGTAACAGGTCTTCAGGTTGCTAGGAAAAACAGATAATAATTCCAGTGGTAAGTGTGATGATCTGGCATCTGAGGAGTGGCACAGAACTGGTTATATAATCAGAGCAACAAGCCACAGGTGAGTTCAATCTGAGTGAGTTGCATCGCAAGAACGCAACAGAGCGTGGGATCACACTTTTACACAACTACAACACACATGAACTTAATGTCAATATATCCGACAAAATAGTCTGACAGGAGATTTATGCAAGTTTATGCCTTTTTACTGCCAATGTGCTGCCTTTCTTTCCTCTTCTCCACCTCTCTGCTGTCCTCCTCTACTCTCTACCTTCTCCTCTCCTTTCCTCCTCAGACCCGTGCCTCTATATCCCTCGGTTTGCTCACATGTTGGAGTTTGGGGTACAGACTCATGAGGTTTCCATGACAGCTCTTCGTCTGGTTCAGAGGATGAAGAGGGACTGGATGCACACGGGACGTCGTCCCTCTGGTCTCTGTGGTGCAGGTACAACATGGCTGCTGTCACCACAGCAAAAACAAGGAACAGATTATTTACATCAGACAAAAAAAATATGTCTCCTCCTCCTCCTCAGCTCTCTTGGTGGCAGCTCGGATGCACAAGTTTCGTCGTACAGTAAAGGATGTGATCAGTGTGGTGAAAGTGTGTCAGGCCACCCTGAGGAAGAGGTGAGACCTGTAGATCACAGTAGATCTCAGTGGATAACAATAGATCACTGTAGTCTACAGCAGGTCACAGCACCCACACACTGACACGTAGGCCTACACCCTAAACCTTTAACCCTAAACCTTGGATCTACCCCAGGAGACTGGAGTAGATCCAAGCAAGTCACACTGGATTACAGTAGACTGAAGTAGATTGCAGTGCCCTTTCTTTGGCCCAAATAGAAGATCACAGTGAGTAGATTACAGCAGATTATGGTAGATCACGCTGAAGCCTGTACATTAGAATACAGCATTCATGTAACGGCCTGCCCTCACAGTAGATCCCACTGAATTACAGTAGATCTCAGCACATCAGAGAACCCTCTGTACCTCCCTGCAGATTAACAGAGTTTGAGGACACACCCACGAGTCAGCTGACCATTGATGAGTTCATGAGAGTAGATCTGGAGCAGGAGTGTGATCCACCCTCCTTCACCGCTGCACAGCACAAGGTCAAGATGCAGCAGGTAAGTCCCTCTGTCTGTGATTGGCTGCAGCATGTAGATACCTCTGTCTGTGACTGCTGACCGATGATAAAACAATCATCTGTCCTCTTCTTCTGCAGCTGGAACACGAGCTGGCCAGGAAACTGGACGAGGTCGAAGGTCAGTCAGTACCAGAGTTCCTCAGAGGAAAGTAAATGATTCATTTTAGGACACCTTTTTTGGGAAACGTCATTGTACACTAAACTTACATAAATTGTTTAGTGTGCCAGTAAGGACTCTTCTAGGGGATCACTTCTTCTTCCTCTTCTACTTTCGGCTGCTCATGTTAGGAGTCACCACAGCGAATCATCAGTTGCCACCAAACTGACGATGCACATGCTAAACTTGGCATGTTTTACTCTGGATGTCCTTCCGGATGAAGTCTATTTTAGAGTCACCAAAATGTGCTAGAGACTTGACGAGTCCATTACAAAGAGCACTAGGCAAATTGTTAGGAATGCTATGAAGGATAGCGAATAAGTTACTTAGAACACCTTAAAGGCCTAAACCTTTCTTTTGGTCCTGCAAGGAGAGATCAGCTGCTACAAAGACGAGATTGAGACGGAGCTGGAGAAGAGTCGACCCAAATTGAGAGGAATCTACGCCGCCTACGCCAAAGAAATTGGTCTGTACTGATCCAGACTCAGACTTGAGCTTAATTTGTACTTGACTGCAACTACACGCAGGCGTTGACATTTATATATGCAGCAAAGGGGTTTATGGGTAAATGTATGTCACTGATGGTCATGGTAGGGCCAATGTGCACACCTCCCTAATCTCAACTCCATATTGTGCTGAGCTGCACTCCCTGCTCACCAATTGGTTGAACCCACTCTTCTGTGCCTGCTAATTGGTCGGCTAGCAGGCACTCACTTTTCTGAAAAAGTCTGAGCAAATCTCTAATTTGGCATTACTTGGGTAGACTGACCACCTAGTTTAAATCTAAATGGTTTCCTGCCTGAAAAATGTCAACACTCAAAGACTTATACCAGTCCTAGGATGAAAATTATAACAGCTTTGAGTCTGGCTCCAAATCTCTGCCATTTCTATTTGCTGACTTCTTTGTTTGCTGTACTTTGGTGTTTGAGCACCCCCTAGTCAGAATGTTACCGTTTAACGGCTACACAATCGTCTCTGAACAACAGACGCATGCACTGTATTCCCATACATGCAGTGATGCAGAAGTATAAATCTGGCTTCAGCTCCAGAAACAAACACTTCAACAGTTATTTAAATGTTGGATTTCAGACCCCGAGGACGTGGACGTTTTGTCCTCAACCTCTGAACCCAAGGAGCCGGCGGTTGAAGACATGGAGCTCCCACATCAACTGACCCAGGACTTCCTGTGTCAGGTGATCCAGGAAGAGGAGGGGCGGGGTGTGTTGATGAATGACGGCAAGCGCGGCACAGTGCCAGAAAGCAAGGGGGCGAGGACTCACCATCAGGTGGCCCCTTTGGCCGACATCCTGGGGAAGCTGCCAAGCACCGCCAGCCGAGAACTCCAACAGACCTTCACCATATCAGAGACAGGTGGGAAACCTGAGGGTATTACATCATCAGAGTCAGAAACAGGTGTGCAGAGTTTATTCTGATGGTCCGATTTTTTGGTGGTGTTTTTCCAGATGGTCAGTCGGCCAGTGGAGAACTGGACCTGGACGGTATCAGTGATCAGGAGATTGATAAGGTTAGTTCACTCTACTTATCAAGCCCCACAAAGTCAAAAACACAGTAACTAGATATTTGGTCAGAAAAGACTGAAGACCTGAATCTGACTTTGTGACTTTTGTTTTATTATTATTATACTAACTAGTACTGTTGTACTAAAGCTGACTGGCGTAGCTGCAGCTCAGCTTTTGACTTTAAAGACACATCCACATTTTTTAATTATAAATTATTTCATTACATTGATTGTAATGTGAATATTTTTAGTTGCTATTCACAAAATGAAACAGAGGTGCATGTTATTCCTTTGAGCTAATGACAGTAAGTAATTAAAGTTATTTTTTTAAACAAACTAGTTAAAATGGAGCAAAATTATGAAAACAATTCTTTGTTTGCAGATCCTGGCCTTGTTGGGTGAAAGTGTCAAAATAAATCATTAGCATCATTACACCCTGTCTTTGTGTTACAGACTTGTGTGACAACTTTAAAGTTTTAGTCACAGCTGTCTGCGTGTGGGGAGTTGGAGTCACATCAGGACATTTTTGTTGTTCCAGTTCTTTACATGACTTTCTCCCTTTATTCATTTTTGGTTGCTTTCTCGATTCATTGCGTTATCTGAGGAAAACAACTGCCACTTCACTAATAAATGTCTTATACTGTGAAAGGATGTCTGTACAGGAAGTGATGTCTTCTTCATGGCTGTAATTTTGTGCTGCAGTATATTCTGAATGAGAAGGAGGTTCAGGTGAAGACGGAGCTGTGGATAAAACAGAATGCAGAGTACCTGAAAGAGCAGAAAGGTGAGGATCTTCATCATTGTCATCATTAGTGTTGAACACGGGGAATTGAAATCTCAGTATTTAGTGGGAACTTTCAAGAAAGAGCAGACCGCTGTTGTCGCTGCACTTTGACCTGATTACACTGACAGAGTCCAGCTGTGAAACATCTGTAAACATCAGACCTGCACACCTACATCCACCAGTCAGAAAGCAGATCAGAGCACCTGAACATTACAGCTGAACATCCACCAATTATAATTCAAATCCATGAGAAACAGATGTTTACTGCAGTTGCAACAAGATCAGATTAGAGGAGAACAAAATAACATCAGGCAACATTTAACAATCACACAACTTCACAGTCGTCCATTTTACTGAGGAGAACAATGACTTTAACGTAACTTGGCCTGAATAAAACACATCCTGATCTCTAGATAAGTGTGTGTGATAAATCGTTTACTGTTGACAGAGAGAGAAGACAGGATCCAGAAAGAGAAGGAACAGGGGACGTACAAAGAGAAGGTCAGTGTCTTCATGCCCAACGTGGTCTCCCAGGCTGGAGGTCAGTCCTGAGGTCCCAGGGTCAGGGAGGGTCAGTGCTGACTTACAGACCCTGAGGGGCTTGTTCTGGTTCTCAGGTCTCTCTCTGTGTCAATCTAAGTGAAACTGCCTGATTAGATAAAGTTTAAATGAAGTAGAGTGCTGTAGGGATAACTTTCTTTTGTAGGCCAGCCCGAAGTTAGCATCACGCTGGTTCCCTCGGCAAAAAGCCAACGGCATTTTTTTCATAGGCTTTTGGATTATTATAGAAAATAAGGTATGTGACACACAGTAGTTATGACAAGTTTTGTTCAGCAAGCTAATCTTCACAGTTGACTGGCACTTTTATTTATACCAGTGAGTAGATGAGTCTCTGTGTTTATTGACTGGCATTTTTATGGTTTTTGAACTGGTCCCATGACTTCAGCATCACCACCACGGCTTCCAACTTGTAATTTGATTATGTGTGCTTACCTCTTCTACTAAATCCTTTCCTCTTAGTGTGACCTCAGCTAGCTAGTGAACATTGCTGTGTCAGTTAGTTAGTATGCAAATTTAAAAATAACAAGGCTGTAAAGGCGGACCAGTGAGTAGATGAGTCTCTGTGTTTGGCGTGATGACGGTTAATATCCCAGACATCCTCATTTAGCCACTTAGCAGCCGCCTTTTTTTAAGACATAGAAAGCATTAAAAATCAAGAGTGGGGTATTTACTAGTATATTTTATTTCATAGAACAAAACATGACAATGTACTGGCCTTTTGTTAACCACAGACCTTATTTCAGGCATCTGACCAAAAACTCACAAACTTCAGGGCGAGGGAACCGGAAGTGCAAAAATGCTAAGTTCTGGGTTTTAGGACTCACTACTATGGCACTCTATAAATGTGAACAAAGTTTGATTTGTGAGTTTATAGAAGAAGAAGAAGAAGTGTAAGAAGAGAGAGCAGATTGAGGCGTTGACGGCAGGCGAGGCGATCGAGAAGATGCTAGAGAAGAAGAAGATCTCCACTAAGATCAACTACGACGTCCTCAGAGACCTGAACAGCAGAGGGACAGGAAGTGGGGGTGGCAGTAGTCCCAGCAGAGCCTCCTCCGACCCCCTGGACCCCAACTCCACCACCCGGAAACCACTGAACCGCCACCGCCGCAGGAAGACCCGTGAGGCTAACCAAGGCCTCGCTGTAAACGCGAGCATCATGGGGAAGAGGTGCCATTGATCATATAATCTGTAATCTGTATATAATCAATTTTCAATTTTAGCCTTTAGTCTGTTGAATGTAGGAATAAAAATGAAAGAATTGTTTCTAATGTGTTAACTTTTAGCTTTTTTTTATTCAGGTTCCGACGCCTCATCTCATCCACACCAAAGAAGAAGAAAACTGCCTCTGAGGTGAGTGGCCACACCTGTCACAGCTGCTCCCACTCACTACGTATGCGCACGTGACTGTATATACACAACTGTGTGCATATCGCCGTATGTTCACCTGTCTTTCACCTCTCAGGTGGAAAACTCTGTCACCATGGCAACAGAACCAACTACAACCGCAAATGATCCAATTTCTGACCCTGAAGCAATGGCTCCACCCACTGTGGTGGAGGAGGAGGAGGAAGAGGAGGACGATCTGGATGTGGAGGAGGATTGTGTCAGTGCACTGCAGCTTATAGAAGGTCGGTACCTGCTTTTATTGTGAAAATCCAGGTGGAAAAACACGGTTTTATTATGAAAATGTTGAAAAAAATGATGGACTGATTGATTATTGGATTGTGTTTTCCAGATTATGGCTGTGATGCAGAGGAGGAGGAAGTCTTCTAGCTCTGTCCTGGTGACCACTGACCTTTTAAAGTTTTCGTCCTGTTTCTGTACATCTGGATTTATTATACTGAGGCAGTTTGACGGGTCAATAACAAATTTCAGTGATCAATTAAACAAGGCAAACTATTATGGATAAACATGCAATAGTGTATTTTTTTAATCTGATGCTTTTTTTGTTTTCATTTAGATCAAACAAAAGTTGATGTGCTGTTTTTTAGAAACATTTTAATAATTTTAATTTGAAAGTTCTTCTTTAATTGATCACTGATTATTTATAACACTGAGCTGCTCATGTTGTTCGTATGGTAGAAAAGTGAAGTTGTAGCCTAAAGTCAGGTGTTTGTGTATTTTTATATGATTTGTATCAATGTAAAAATGAAACGTTTCTCACTCCACATTCTAGAAAATGAAAATATGACTTAAATAATTTTGAACGACAAAGACATTAAGGTAGTTTTATGAATTATGAGAAAGTTGTCTCCAGGTGACTCAGCTGTATTTACTCACAGTTTGTGTTTCTGTGTGTGTGTGTGTGTGTGTATTTGCATGGATTTGTTGACGATTTCTTGCAAACTGATGTGTGTATATCCTGGTGTTTTCAGACTGAACTTTGTCTTAATGTAAAAAGTCCACAGTAATAATAAACTGAAATGAGAAAACAATGACGTTCCCTCAGAGGATAAAAAAAAAAATCTAAATGACTTTTTTGCTGCTTTGTTCAATGTAAATACAACAAACCTCACACTAACCTAATGCCTTTGTCCTTCAAACACAGTAACACAAAGGTTCAAGTCCAGTGAGCTGCAAACAGGAAGCTGCTGGATTTTAAAGGAATAATTCAACAAGTTTGTGCTTCACAGAACTTTGATAAATCAGTGACTTAAGGGAAAAGCTACCTGATGACCCAAATAGAACAGTAATTTTTTTCTGGGAAATATCTTGGAAATGGAGGGAGGTTCGTCTTACAATGGTGGGTGGTCCAGGTCCATACCGTAGAGGAATTGTGGCGGTCTTGAACCAGGCCTGGGAGGAGAGCTGAACTTTGAAGGGACGACATTAGGCTCTGATTCTCTATCAGACCTTCTTGCCTATCCAACAGCTCCTTCACTGGTGTGCCCCCGTCCTAGGTTTGACTCTAGGAGGGGGTCCAGTCTTCCTGTTAGATATAACATGCTAATGTTAATTAATAGAAATTAAAAAGCAGTGGGGTGCCGTGTGGGCTACAGCAATGTAAAATAATCTGTCATTGCTCCTGTGATGCTGTTTCTGATTAATTCACATCAATACAGTCATGGCCAAAAATATTGGCACGCCAGCATTTCTGTCGGAGAAAGCACAATTTCTCCAGAAAAACTGTTGCATTCACAAATTCCTTGGTATTCTCATGATTATTTCTTTCATTTGCAAGGAAGTGATGTTTCCACTACTCGGTGGGACTTAATGGTAAATTGTAAGGCTGGAGGATTAGAGTTATAATGAAATAACCCCATATTTATGAGGGGTGCCATGCTAATCTAGAGTTACCTGAGATTAAACATTAACTGGATGGATTTCAGCCATTTCAGAGCAATTCTTCAGCAATCATCATCCACATGCATTTTCTGCAGAAGACGCCTGTTGTAGTTGTACTTATTCTTCCTTTTAGTCCAGGCTACATATTTTCCATTTGTATTAATACTTATTATTGTTATTGTATTATTATTTTATTGTTTTATCTTAAGCATGAAGATTTAAATACATATATTTTTCCTTGGGACTTTGGTGTTTCTGAACCTTTTTGTGACGTTTACATCATCGTGGTAATTTAAATATGAAAAACAAACGTCATTACATCTGACTGCTTGTTGAACCGGAGCGTTCAGATCCGCTTTCAGGCCATAAACCCCCTTAACTGCAACTCCCAGCAGCCATCGCGCGGCCGGAAATAGACGCCTCAGTGAAAGGAGAAGAGGAGGTGTTACTGCAACTGAAGGTAAAACAGCTGATCGATAATCGGTTTTAAATTCACAGGTTTATAATTTCTGTCAGTTCTGTTTACAGGCTACATATCGATGTGGTCATTGTTCCCGCCCTTTGTCCGAGCGACACAAAGGGTTAATCCGGGTTTAGTCTGCTAGCATGTTGACAAGCTAACTAGCTTCCTGCTGCTGTTGTGATGCATATGTACATGTTTTAATATTGAGGAGCAACAGAGTGAAATACAGCTGTCAGCCTTCAGGGTTTTCTGTATTCACGTGATTATTAATCACCAATATTCATGAACATAATTAATATTAACTAGAAAACGTACTCACCGCTGCACCGCACAGTGCACGGACCCGTGTTGCTGTTCTGTACCAGTGCAACCAGAAGTTATTGAACTGGTGTTCACTGAATGACAAAGTGAATATGAATATCATCATCACCGTATGTCCAGTGTGTGCACTCACGTGTACATGTGCACACATATGGTAATAGAAAAGGACACAGTAACAACAGTCTGTGTGTATAAAGTCGCGTTCAGATAGGACGCGGTATGGGCTGTGCTAGGTACTGAAGGTGGTCAGAAAGCTTTCCAGGAGGCAATTAGCAGGCTTTAGTTGTACTGATGACGAAGAGGAGACGATGACCTTTGTGGTCATAGAGGTGACGTCATAGAGTGAACCTTTTTTACTTCAGCACGCGAAACCGTGTGCTGTGTTCATGTCAGTGCACACAACATGTATAAGGGATGGGTTTAATAACAGAGAGCAGCGCCCACCACGTCCTATCTGAACACGGATTAACAGTATAAATAAAACTGTTCAGACCGTTTGTATTGGCTCCAGATGATGAAGAGTAAAGCAGATGAGGAAGACTTCTGGAACAGCTCAAAGTGTAAACCTTTCACCTTCGATGATGAAGATGACGAGTTCAGCAAGGTAAGATGTGAACCCAGGATGAGCCTGGTCTCATATTTGAGGTTTTAATAGAAACTGACCTGGGATCAGAGAGTCCACAGCAGAGGCAAGGGGTAAATCCCAGTTCATCTATTTAGTCGTTCCTCGCTCCCCCACTCAACCTGGAAGTCATTCTGGTCCGCCATCATGAAGGACGTCCCATATCACTTATTCCTGCTCTGAGCAGCAAGGAGACTGCTGGAGGAGCTGGAACCGAGGCTACATGAAGACACGTCCCAATATCAGAAATCAGTTCATGTGCTTCACATGGAGGGTCAGAGGAAAGAATGTCTCGTGTTGTCAAGTCCACTGCCCTCACCTTTTCCTTTCATGTTTAAATGGTTTTCTGTCACATTAAATATTTTGGGTTTTGGACAAAGATGTTACACTGGACTCGGATGATTAATCAGCCACCTGCAGACCAGGTGTGTCACTTCAGATGATTAATCAGCAGTGTCACAGTGGCCACCTGCAGACCAGGTGTGTCACTTCAAGTGTTGGTGTTTGTGTCCGTCAGTTAAAAGAGTCAAAGCAGACCGTGAAAAACATCCGCCCACTGGTGGATGAAGACGAGGATGAAGATGACGTGGAGAAGATCAGCTGGAGTGGAGAGCCTGTTGGGAGTAAGATGTTGTTACCGTTTTATTACCAACACCTGTTGAGATTGCCAGGCTGTGATTGGCTGCATGGTGGACACGATTCTGTGTCTGTCCTCAGGTATCTCCTGGTCAGTCAGAGAGACGGCAGCATCCAGTCAGAGGACAGAAAGAGAGCCCGCCTTCCCCAAAATCAACACAGACACCCCGGCGATCAGCAGGAGTCTCTCAGGATACTCTCTGAGTGCTCTCTTCAAAGGTGGGACAGGTGAGACATGGGGAGGGGGAGACACTAGGGACAGGTGAGACAGGAGGTGAAATATTAACGATCAGTTGATGACAAAGGAAGTTGATGTGTTCACTGACTGAAGCTTGAATCTTTCTCTGCAGGAAAAACGAAAGGAGCAAACTTCCAATCCTTCACTGACTGTGAGTCTGACCCACTGAATGGATCAATGGATCAATGGATCAATGGATTCTTGAATGAGTCAAAGACTAACAAAGGTTTTGTGTTTTAGCGCAGAGTGACTCATCTGTCAGGCTCTACGCTCCAGAACTCCGAAAACCTAAGTCAGAATACAAGGTGACAACCACATTGATAATCTGATCACAGATCGATCACCAGGTTACATAGTGATAATATGAAGCTTTGTTCTGCTGTCGTAATGGTGATCTCATGTTTGATGTCAGGATATTGTCAGCGATTGGTCGCCTGAGCACACGGTTCAGAGAATGCAGCAAGGAAAGGTAAGGACACCTGTCTGTGGCTCAGACAGAACAACCTGTCTACCTGTCAGAGCCACAGACCAGTTGTTGTACTGTTACTGGGAAATGCTTATTTTCTTTTCTACAACAGCGATACAGTTTAGTATTAGTGTGGATAAATACAATGTAGTGTTGCCATAGTGGGCGCTGTTTGTGTATTTGTACTGTGTTTGTGTGTTTCAGGTCGTGCATCTGGAGAAGTTTCGGTCTCTTCAGGACAAACTGTTGCTGCTCGATTTTGCTGTCAGCGCTCACGATGGAAATGTCATCACCGCTGTATCTTCATTTAAACTGATGCATAACTTTTTCTATAAACCAGATTAACACATTTATCAAAATCAGCTGATCACTTGTTTTTTTTTCTTCTTTCAGGTTTTAATTTATTTAAAGAGGACTCTGAGTAAAGGTGAGTGCTGATCCTGATCCAGTCAGTTCAGACTCTGGATCCCTCAGTCCAGATCCCGGATCATCCCTCTCTCTTCATTTCGTTTGTTTTTTTTTAGAGGTGTTGTTTCGGGAGCTGGAGTCTAGACAGACGGCTCTGAGACATTTCATCCACTACCTGACTGAAACCAGAGACCAGAGGCTACTGCTGGAGCTGCTCAGGTCTCGGACTTCACCTGTCTCACCTGTTTCACATGTGTCTGTGTGTACAACTGGTTTAAATCACACATTAACTTATTGTTTATCGGATGCGATTCAATTTGGTTCTTCTTCGGTTCTTCCTCAGAGCTCTCGGCAGGATAGAGGACGTAGCGGTACGTAGTACAGTCAGTTACACGGTAGTAGTACACATTCGTAGTATCACCCGTACACATCAGGACTGACCAGAAGGTGTTGTAATTTCCTGTGTGTTTCCATGGTGACAGCTGCTGCAGTACAAAGAACACCTGAGCATTGCAGATGAAAACAAGAGGCGGGACTTCTTGAAGAGCTGCCTCAGGTGAGTGGCACCTGCAGGCCACCATACATCAAACCACAGACTGGTTTAATTAGTGTGATTATTGGAAATAATTAATGAAGTTATTGATTTGAATCAAGTTTGAAATGTGTTAATAGAAAGTACTAATATTAAAAATGGACTAAATAATAATTGTGCTGTCATCAGGTGGTAAATCTGTCCAGTCATTTACTGTTTGTGGATTAGTTGGTTGTTTACTTTTTTGTTTGTTTCCAGTCTTCCATTTTCTCCAGAGGACTCTGCTCACGTTCAGGACCACTACACGCTGCTGGAGAGACAGATCATTATCGAGGTCAGAAACTACTCTAAACTGGCTCAAACCGGATTCAACTGTTATTTCCATTCTTAATTGATGTCATGATTATTTAGTCTATTTATTTGAGAAGATGGTGGGTTCGCCATTCCTCCGGGTCTGGCAGCTCACCTGTTTGGCTTTATTCCACCCATTTGTTGTACCTGGTGCAGTAGAAACAGACACTGTGATGGCTGTTAACGTAGTGATGGTCAACAGAAGGTGGGGGTCCCTCCTCCCCCCATCTCTCTCTCACACACACACACACACACACACACACACACACACACACACACCATAACAGGTGAACCAGCCTCCTCTGAATTACAGAAGTGCACACAAACTTTACTCCTACAGTCTCTGCTTATTCCCATCACCTGTCCCAGTTTAATCCCAGTTTCCGCTGTGCTGTTGCTAGGCGACAGACCGACATGCTGAGCGTGGAGGGAAGGTGGAAATCTTCCAGAAGTTTCCCAGAAGAGCTTCGATTCTCAACATGCCACTGATCACAACACTGTACTACTGCTGCTTCTACCACTATCATGAGTCTGAGGTCAGGCCTCATTTACATGCGTTTACACACACTGACTAGTCTGACTAGTTAAACCAGCGTTCGTTTGCTTGCAGGGAACCTACTCCAGTCCATTAAACATCCGTCAGACCTTCAGGGTGAGAACTGACTTCTCTCTGCTGGCATGTGTGATGCGACTCTCTCAGGTATTAATGTATTGACCTCTGACCTCAGATTTCGGACAAGCAGTATTTTGTGACAGCGCTGGCAGCGAGGGCGAAGCTGAAGGCGTGGTCAGACGTGGACGCTCTATTCACCAGTAGGAACTGGCTTGGATTCACCAGGAAGAAATCACCGCTCAGCTTCCAACGAGTTGTTGACATCCTGCACAGAAACTCTGCCCCCACACAGGTGAGGGGGGTGGGGCCAGCCTGAAATTTCCTCAACACCTGAAAAGTAATTAGAAGTGCTGGAGAGTGATTGGCAGCTTTATTAATCTGACTGACAGGTGCTGCAGGAGTATGTGGGTCTCGTGGATGATTCGGACCTGAGGATCAGTTTGGCACAGAAACACAAATGTCACGACATCGTCATCAACGTGAGGCTCATGCATGCTTACATTAATTATGCTCTCTGATGGATGATTGTGTAAAATGCTTCGACCAATCAGACTCCTCCAGGGCGGGGATTAAACAGTAGTAGCCAATCCCAGCTGTCTGACATCATGATGATGGCGTGTTTCTGTGACAGACGTACCGGGACCTGAAGGACCGGCAGCTGTTGCTAGGATACCTGTCGAAGGTAGAGAGAGGATCCGCGGAGGCGGGGAAGATCAATCAGCTGCTCAGCAACCAGGTGAGGAAGCGGAGGATCGTCATCTTCAACATCTTCATCATCTCCATGTATTCTGACTGATTCTTCTTCTGTTTCAGCAAATCCGGTGGAGGAACTGACTTCTATGCTTCGGTGAAAGACTTTTATTTTGAAACAACGAAAGTTTCATGTGAAGCCAAAGTCAAACACAACGGGAACGTCCAGTTAGCTCGAGCCTGCTTCGGTTTTGATTGGTTGGAGAGAGGAGCGCTTGGTTTGACTCCTCCCACCATACCGCGGGGCGGATGGAGTTTAAATTTCTGTCCACACATGGTGGAGTCATCGCTTCA